AATACCCGCTATAGCAGAAGGAATTCTACCTGAAAGTCAGTGTGGTTTCAGAGCCAACAGGAGTACCACAGACATGGTATTTGTTCTCAGACAACTGCAAGAGAAGTGTAGGGAACAGAACAAAGGTCTCTATGTAACCTTTGTCGACCTCACCAAGGCTTTTGATACTGTGAGCAGAAAAGATCTATGGCAGATTTTCGAACGCTTACGTTGTCCCCCCAAGTTCCTTAAAATGATCATCTCACTCCATGAGGATCAGCACGGCCAAGTCAGATATGGCAATGCACTTTCTGAGCCCTTTCTAATAACTAATGGTGTGAAACAAGGATGCGTTCTCGCTCCTACCCTATTCACAGTCTTTTTCAGCATGATGCTCCAAAGGGCCACAGCAGACCTCGATGATCAGGACGGTATCTACATTCCATACCGTACTGATGGAAGCCTATTCAACCTAAGGTGACTGAAGGCTCACACTAAGACCTTAAACCATCTTGTCCGAGAGCTGCTTTATGCTGATGATGCTGCCCTTGTTGCACACACAGAAGCAGCTCTGTAGCGTTTAACATCCTGCTTTGCAGACGCTGCTGAGCTCTTTGGGCTGGAAATCAGCTTAGAGAAGACAGAAGTTCTCTATCAACCTGCACCTCAGGAAGTCTTCCATCATCCCCATATCACCACTGGCCAATCAGTGCTCAAATTAGTCCAGCAGTTTAATTACCTAGGCAGCCTCATCTCCTCAGATGGTAAGATTGACGGAGAGATAGACAACAGGTTAGCAAAGGCATACAGTGCCTTCGGAAAGCTTCATAAAAGAGTTTGGCAAAATAAACACTTGAAGAAAAGTACAAAGATCAGTGTTTACAGAGCCATAGTGCTGTCTATTCTCTTATACGGATCTGAATCATGGGTCATCTACCGCCGCCACCTGCGTCTCCTGGAACGCTTCCATCAACGCTGCCTCCGTACAATCCTAAACATCCACTGGTCAGATTATGTGACCAATACATCTGTTCTAGAACAAGCAGTAACCACAAGTATTGAGGCCATGTTGCTCAGAACACAGCTGTGTGTTGGGCAGGGCACATCTCCAGGATGAAGGACCACCGCTCCCTAAGATCTTGCTTTATGGTGAACTTGCCACGGGCTGTCGCATAAGAGGAGCCCCGAAGAAAAGATACAAGGACTACCTGAATCAACATCTCAGCCTTGGCCATATTGATCTTCATCACTGGTCTACTCTGGCCTGCAATCGGGAGGTCTGGAGACACACTATCTTCAACACTGCTGATGCTTTTGAGAAAGCACGCAGGATCACTCTCAAGGAGAAAAGGCAATGCAGAAGGAATTGTGCCTTGCAGAATATACCTCCTAAAGAGTCTTTCTGCTGTGCCTTTTGCAACCGGACATGCCTGTCTCGTTTTGGCCTTTTTAGCCACCAACGCGCTTCCAACAAACGTGGGTAGAGCCCTTCCCAAATCTTTGTTTGCGAAGCCCAGCCATGATGACATGAAGAAGCCCTTCTTGTCCTTGACATTGTTGGCCAGATTTAAGTCCGGATGGGCCTTGGCCTGCCTTGTCTCATTTCTACTTACTCTGACAACTCTCTATATTCATATCAAGTGGCCCGACCATGCATCCAATTTACTGTGTGTTTCCTGCTTATGCTGGAGTAATGAGAGGAGTTCTTTATTCATCCATGCAGATCTCTCTCTTTGTCCAATTTCTTGCTCATTGGCATGCATCATTATTATTGAGTCTGGAGGAAATGATCCTTGGATACCACCCAACTCTCTTGGACCCCTCTTCCCTTCAGGGTCTGTTCCCATGGGATTCTTCCAAGAAGATCCCTGAAGAGGCTAAAGTCAGCTCTCCTGAAGACCATAGTTGTAATCTTACTTGTTGCCCTGCTCCCTCCTCAGCCAATACTGAACTGCACACTTTCGTGGTCACCACAGCTGAGGCTGCCCCAGCACTCACATCTCCAAAAAGGAGATGTTATTACTAATGACATAACAACAACATCTGAAAAGCATTTAGCAATATGTATGATTGTGGAAATACAAAACACTGTTGTTTCCGATAAAATTCCCCATTTTGCGACATTAATCTGTAAGAATTACATTGCTAAGGCACAAGCATGACCCCCTCAAAGGGAAGGCAAGGTAAAAGGAATGATCTATTAAAAAAAAAAAAATAAGGAAAAAATACTCTCCAAATGTACTTGTTCTGAATTACAAGAGGCAGATGACAATGATATTTATATACAGATGATTTACAGGCGTCTATGAGCTTAAGTCTACTGACTTCTAAGCATGCTGTAAATTCAGAACTCTACAATTTTGATTTCTAAAGGTAAAAACAAACAAACAAATCCCAACTTAATGTTGAATAAAATGTACTTTTGTTCTTTTATTGGGGCTTTTTTTTCCTAACAAAACAATGGTATTTCCTAGGTCATGGCAGTGAAAAACTCTGTATTTGACCAATCCAATGAATTATATTAAAATAGACAACTAGTATATGCACATCTGGAGAGACCTGCCCATCTACAAAACAAAAAAAAAAAAAAACAAACAAAAAATCCACAAAACCCAAAACAAACAAACAAACCAACAAAAAAGCAAACCAACCCAAAAAACAGTAATCAAGTTCTTTAGTGTTGAAAAACATTAATTCTTACACATATACCCTCAAAATCTGAAAACTATACACCATTTGTTTGTGTCAGGATTCTCTTTTTTAGATTTAATGACCATTGGTAGGGCACAATAAGACATTTATCAGAGGAAATCTTTAAGGATGAGTGTTTAATCAAAGAGAGTCTCCATGCCAAACAGTGACAAAGAGATCAGAAGCTCATTAGTGGGTAATCACCTTTAGCAACCTTCTGCAGAATTCAGTGTTGGATAATTGCATTAGGCAAAATTAAGAGAGATTCATTAGAATGGAATCACAAGGGTCTGTGTTAAATGTAAAGTTGGATGCTTCTGATATCAAACATAGACTCATAGAAGGAACTATTGAAAATAATTAGGTGTTTTTCTTTTTTTTTTTTTGTTAATTGAACATAGACCAAAAATACCTTAACAGCAATTTGGTGCATTAAGCCTTTAAGCCATTATGTTAAGACTGAAATCAAGAATCTGTCACATTCTTAGGTTCTGTTTCAGTAATTCGTGTTCACCACTGAAAGTGTGTACCTTGGGGGTTTTTATTCTTTATTCATCAAGCTTTTACCCCTTAAACTCTTCACTGCTGTTAATTAGAGAATTGTCTTCTCAAAAATATGTTTGCCTTCTGTAGGAGTTCCTGCAGTAAATCAAGCCATCTCTTCATTTTCTTTCACATACACTGAAAAGTTAGAGTTCCTTCAGTCTATAGACAAAATGACAATTTTTAAATCTATCAGAATTTTTTTCCCCTTTTTCTGAATAATTTCCAATTTGTTAACTCTATTTTGCCAGAAAAAGTGACACTGTTCAGATAATGACCTCTCTAATTATGAGTAAAAAAGAATGTTTTTCATATTCTTATGTGGTAGTCATTTGCTTATCCCTGTTTAACCACAGGGCTACTTCGTGAGTTTATTATTCCACTTAAAATATACGCTGTATATTTTTATGTCCCCTTGGAAAAACAAAACAAAACAAAATAAAATATATCAAAAGATCTATAAATATTATTGTATCAGAAGAAAACTGTAACATTGTGACTGTGATGACTGACTGGTGAGAGGAAGCATCAGGTTCCAGTCTCTCATATTCCTCATTTATGACTGCAATTTTTTATGTCAATTCATTTCAAAATTGGCAGATCTAGAATTTGAAAAATACTCTGCAGTGAAGCCTGTTAGACTTCTACTTTGTTACAAATGTAAGTTTTTTGCAAGTTAACATATTCTCATAAAATCTTTTGTATTATCATCTCCAGAAACAAAATTTAGCTTTATGCCTCGATTGTCTATCTCCTTCATTATCAGCTAGCATTTTTCTGGGAAGTAGGAGGGGAAGATTCAGAAGTTATAATTTTAATGGAAAATAGTATAATTAAAAATAAGTTTGTAATTTCTTCAAGACCATGGATAAACATATTAAATAACTCTAAGCCAAAAATAGGAAATTATAGCAGGGTATTTCCAAAGATACACATTTCTCATACTCCTCTTTTGTGGTAGTGGGTAACCATATTTAATCAAACTGAATTTTTCAGAATGGTAATTTCAGTTGGAATGTTTTTATAGCCTCGGTAAGATTGTATCAATGTTTTTAAACAAATATAAATGTTGCATTCTGTAAAATTAACCTGAGATCTTAAGCTTGCCTGACATAAATGTTTCATCAAAATACTATCTTTATTGTATTTGGTTGGGTATAGTAGTGATAATGTCTCCATTTTATCAGCATGGTTGCTTTTGTTACTCTGTAAACATTATTTCTAATAGTCTCAGAAAATAAGATTTATCCGTAAAACAGGATTCCCTGCTACTGCTATATTTCTAATATGAGCAATGAAAAAGGATTTGACCTATATTTGTTAGAATACAAGGGATATCCTGTATAGAAATCTTAAGATAATCAAACCTGACTGACCATGAGGCAAGACCCTGTAGTTCAATTGTTTTGGCAGGTTCAAATTTCTATTTGTTCAATATCCAACTTACTGCTAGACAAAACGCCAGTCCCTAAGAAGTACTAATAAATCCCTAACTGACATTCTCATAGTTGTAAATATGTTGTACACATTTATATTCTACTTATTACTACGTTTCTAGTTCTTATTACATATCTTTAAATAGATGATAAATATAATTTTCATAGAATATTGACCTAAAAATTACTAGGTATATATCATGAGATACATCGTATGTGTGAGCAAGAGATCAAAATATTCAAGAGGACTTTTCTTTAATCATAGCTTAAAAGTTAATAGTTAATACAGAGATTAAAATTTTTTCATACTAATGTATATTTTCAAGAACTTTGCTGTAGGATTTCTCTTACCTCTACAGATAGGAACAGGGAAGTCCCATGATGCTGTATTCACAGAGTTAGCTATGCAAGTAAGCTGGGGGTGTCCATCCAAAATATATCCAGTTACACAGCTGTATCGGATTTTGTCACCAACATCAAATCTTGTACCGTACAAGATACCCTTTGGTGGAACTCCTGGATTGCCACAGGAACTACTCTGTAATTCTGGAGCAGATATATATTTATTACTTACAATGTTTTTGTAAATCAATGCTTCATTTTGTTTGAGAATATAGAACACATAAATTAAGACAGTTTTGGACAGACAGAGTGTTTTCATGGACATTATACAATTCTTAACACTGAAAATTCATTACTGACTTAGTCTATTTATGAACCCATATGTGCAAAAGTAGATGAAAATGAGCATGATTTTTTTTCCTTAATCTCCATCTATAGATATATTCATAAATTTCTCTGTTAAATTGACAGCAAGGAATTCATTACATAGGAACAGGAAGCAAAGGAACTTGATGTATACAAATGCAAAACAATAAACAAAACTGTACTACAGTCATGAAAGAACATCAGATTCAAATTGAACAAAACTTGCAAGAAAAAAAATAGTCAAGACAAGAGAAAATCTTAATAAGCATAAGCCTGAGCATGATCAGGAATCTGTTTAATGATTTAATAGTTTTTAGATAATGAGGCAAAAGTGATGAGATACTGTGGGTAACTGATTTCTGAGCAAAAGATTAGTTCATTCAACCATGTAAAATACCACAGATCTGGTGACTTCTACTCCAATGCAGAGCTTAAAACCACTGAGAATCCAAAATGACTCACAGCTGCTGTTAGTCTTATCTCTGAGGGCATTAATTAGAGTTCAGTTTTACTAGTTAGTACTCATATAGTAACTGTGTACTCTTTTGACTGATGTTTCAGCATCATAAATAGCGTGATTACATTTTCAATCATTTACTTCTGAAGTCCTTTGATTAATGGACATTAAAAGATAGATTTTGTGCAAGTGTGAGCAAAAGATATTTCACACTCTCATCCTGAGCTCTTCAAAGCTCTTACTAGCCTAATGCTAATATGGAAGAGAAAAATCATGTAAACCTGTATTTGAATTCATATCAAATTTCCCTAATCTACAAAGTAAGGAAAATGACAGAAAGGTATGTATGTATTGTTTCAATTTCTTTTCCTGAGTTCCATGTGACTAAATTATTCTTCAGCACCCCTGATGTGCTCATGAGTGTGTGCACAAGATCTTTAAATACCCAAACTGTCAGAGTAGGTTTCAATTAAAGAAAAAAGGTATAAATGCTTATCAAAACAAGCAGTATGGCTCATGAGATTCATTACATTCTCAAACTCCTATGCCAACAACTGGGATAAATTACTAGATTTCTGACACCAGCCATGAAATGAAACTATGTAACAATTATCAAAAGGCATAATCCAACATAGTCATAAATATATTTCTCTGTACATTCATATATACATACACTATGAATAAAATATATGATCGCAATGAGTTCATCTGCAAGATTTGAGGTACCAATCAGGTTTTGATGTGAATGTGTTAAATATGGATATTATCTGCTGATGTCATTGCTGCTATTTCTTGCTTTCTCTTACATAATGAACTCTGTGGTTCTGGATTTGACTTTCATTGCCTTGCACAATGACACAACACAAAAGTAAGAATGTGGCCTCTCTCATCTTGGTCACTTCAAAGCTCACCTAAAGAGCTGATATTCTCACCACTGCTTTATCAAAGTGTTCTGTGCTGAAGCAACACTCTCCTGGCCTCAAATGTGCTTGCAAGCTCTACAAAGAAGGCAATGCTGCAGCTATTCCCACATACTTGTGCAAACGGATTTCTTTTAAATCCTTTAACTGTTTTCAAGGCTATTAGATTTATTATTTATTATCATAGCATGTCAAATATCATCCTATGGATTTTGGTTATCATATGAATCATATTATATTAACTTGAAAACTCTGCCTGTACATAGTGTTTTCATTTTCCACTTCTCCAAGAAGATGAAGTTTTTCAGAATCCTGTATCTCTTAGGGCTTTGTAAAAAGGTCACGAAAAGACGTCCTGTCTTTTGAAATAAAAAATATAAAGATTACCAATGTCTTTAACTGTTACTGCCTAAAATTGCTTCCTTTACACTTACTGCTGTCTCACCAAGAATTACCCACAGAAGGCAATTTATTCTTATGAAATTATATTATATTTTAAAGCACTAATTAAAAATCACCCTCCTTCTAAAATAAAACTAATTTTCCAGTTGCAATACTTTATGACTCATCTAAAAGGAATACTTGGCATTTTTCATTAACTTTTTAACATTATGAAACTGGGTAGGGAGTAAGTTACTGCTTCTAACCCTTCAAGTCATTTTGTTCCTGATTCTAGATAATAAAGTAGAAAATGAGTTTTACACTTTTAAGTGCATTAGTTTATTCAGTGAGTATTTTCATTTTGAACATATACAAGTGCACTACTTGGGGGGGTGGGGAGGGAGGGAGGAGATAATTCACTAAGTAACTGCATTTGTCTTCTTTGATAGGCAGTATCTATTTTCAAACTGCATGTGACACTGTACTACCAACTCTGTTCCATTTAAAGCTACAAATTCTTACACTGAGATAGTCATCTGTCAGGCAACACAGCAATTGCCAAACTAGACTGTAATTTTTATTCAGCTCTGCACAGATTCTTGACTTCAGTGATATTCTCATAATCACTAATGATAAGAAGCCTGGAAAAGTACTTCCTTTCAAATTTGCCACACTGTAATTTGGTTGAACTTCTCCTGGTTCATGTACTCTGAAAAAAAGCGTAATTGAATTTTTTACACTATCTTACTTTTTTGCATTTTTATTCTGTATTATTTCTCATGTCTTTTTTTAAAGCAAGCTGTCCCAGTTGTTTCAATCTCTTACCAAGTAGGAATTTTCTTTGTCCTAGATTTAATTTTGTAAACAAGATATGTATGAACCTATTTGTCCTCTTTTTTCCATAATCATAAACCACCAAGATTAGAATATGCTTCAATGCTGTTCAGTAAGTTTCTATTACATTAATGCTTATTATTGAAAATAGAAATCCTGTTAAAAAACTGTGGGTAAATATATTTCAGAGAGTTCTGCTTAGTAGGAATGGACTAAGACTTTAGAGTCTTTAAAGACTTTAAGTCTTTAAAGATTTTAATTGGCAGAATTTCTGCCACTTATAAATACTAACTAATAACTTATCCAAAATAAATCACATTAAATATAATTTCTGCAAATTCTTCCAAAAACAAGGCTGACAGAAGTCTAGACGCTCTTTGTCAGTATTCACTCAAGGAGAAACAAATAAGGACCAAATATACGAATTTCAAATTTACTTTATTTTTACTCAGATTTTAAGTCAGGAATACTATTTTTTTTCTATTATGATATTTATTATATCAAGAGTAGCACTTGTCCTCCCTAAACTGTCTAAACATGAAATTTGTCATTTCATGTCTAAATATCCAAAACAATTATTTTCTAATATTACAGTACAAAAAGCATTTGTCGTATCATTGCATTCCATTCAGCTTAATGCTGAAGACTAATGTTCTTCACACACTAAATATGACATTAGAAATTTAGGAACATAAATAATTAATTTTGTCTTTTTTAAAGAGTTAATCCATATATTTTCAGATTTTTTTCACAACTATTGCAAGTCACTATGATCCCATTTCTTCCAACATAAAGTGAAAAATACTGTCAATCTTCATGAGTACTCACTCATTGAAAGACCTCTGTAATATCCCAATAGAGGCTAATATTTGCTTCCTTTAGTAGCTTTGTAATTAAATATTTCTGGTATCCCTACACTCTCAGTTTGGATATCTCCCTCTATTACTGCATGGTACCAGTCCCAGACTGCTTGTCTGTACACAGATATCCCTTTGAAAAACGATGCCTATGTACTTTGTCTTATTGCCAAGCAAGAATGCTCTGGTATTGAAGACTCAAGACTGATTTCAGAAGTGCTGCATGTAGCATGTGTGTGGCAATAGGGAGGGCTATACATTCCAAGGGCCCCAAATATTAGGATAGATGATGTATTTGTAACAATATGAAGTTGCCTGAAATTCCATTGTCCAAAATTCATCTATATTGAATCTTATAATGGCTTATTTTAGTTGCACATAGTTTTCCAAAGGTTTTATAAACTAAAACAGTAACTTAGATACATAGCTTCTACCTCATAATACTTTGCTTATTTTTCTTAAAATGTATATTTTTCCTACTTTCTATTCACACTGCTCTGAATATATGAGTAAGCATAGTCTAGATGTAGATCTAATAGTGGCTAGAAGAAATAACTGGTGAGTATACTTTTGTCTTCCTACATACATATTGACATATACATATACACACCTGTTCCACTTGAGATTACAGAGTGAAGGAAACCACAGAAAAAAAACTGGACTAGGCGATATCAGTGCAGTGAAGGAAAAAAATGAAAAACTTAGTATCTAAGTGTCAATTTAACTGCACAAATATGTAGCGTTCAGAGAGCAAAGAAAGACATCAGGTATTGAATTAAATAAATTTCCCTTCCCCAAAACACAGGTCTCTCCTTTGTAGAAGTTCAGCAACAAAAGTGGTTATCCCTTGATTCCAACAAATCTGGCACCTCAAGATACAAGGGCAAGTCACTATGCTGAAATTCACATTTGTTTACAACAATGGCAGAAACGATTTGTCTAACAATCAAAACTTATCGGAAGTATTTATTTTAATTTCTGCATTTTTTGTGGATCAGTCTGAAAAGACTGTCATATTCTGATGTTAAACTATAAACAGGCAAAGAAGAGGAAGTGTGAGAAGTTTGGGGTTGTTTTCCCCTAAAAGAAAAAAAGGTAAAGCATGTTTTTTCTTTTCCTGTTCTTAATTGCTCTCTCTTGACAAATAGCTTTGCAATAGTTACCTCACTGAGGGTCTCTACCGTTCACTAAAGATAATACAGCTAATTACATTGCAGTTTCTTACCTATTTTTTTAATGAATGACATAATTTTGCTTTTTTCTCCCTTTTGAAATTATTTGCATGTCAAAAAAGGACAGAGGAACTTGATTATCTAAAGTAAAACCACTGATTAGTTTAAGACTGTCCTCAGGGAACTTTAAATGTAGATTTTTATACTGAATTTGATT